AACTAGGTCAAACTATTTTCGTCAGAGGTAACTTGACACGATGAAGATAGGCTATAGTGAAGAGGTTAGTGTCAAGTTATCTCTGAAGCTCAGGGTGGCACTGAGCGGAATTAGACCCAATTGTCTTTCTTAGACCGCATTCCCATACCTACATCGATCTAGCAGAATCGACCCACCTCTGAAGAGATTCTCGCTAAATTGCATTTAGATTAAGCGGCTTTAATGTCTGAAGCTGCTAAAGGATAGTTAATAACCCCCTAACAGTTTTAGTAGGTATGTCCCTTAAAGCTGAATGTAATTTAGCAAGAGACCCCCGGAGATGGGTCGATCCTGTTAGATTGATCTAGGTATAGGAACGGGGTCTAAGAAACCATGTAATTTGCCCTTACCTACAACTTTCCCGTCAACTTCAGCTACCCACCAGCCGTCTTTGGCAATTTCCATATATGCCTTGATCAGTTGCAGACTAAAAGGTACCCATCCCGCTTCTTGGACTATCCTCCAAACGTCGCCCGCATCTTCCAGCTTTGCATTGCGAACACTGAACCAATCTTTGTCAACCCTGTCCGCCATGTTAATCGGTGAGAGATCCATGTATATCGCTTATCAAATCGGTGACCTACCTGTACACATGTAGGCCTACATGAATATATTTCTCTTTTTCACAAACCAGCCAATAATAGTTCTTGATTTTTATATCTAAGATTTATTAACCACCAAGATAAAAAGTAAATTTTAGCAGGTCACAAGTGTTTACCTTACATCCAGGACGCAATATAGCCTACACTAAGGCTGTGTGCTAAAAATAGCCTCGTAATGTTATACAAACACCGACCGTACTAAGACAAGAGTGTTTGACGCGAGATTGTCAAGGTAATTTTTTTTCCGAGGCTGCTCAAAAGGCCAGTCAAATTCTCACAAATTGGAGGGTATATATGCACTTTATTTCTTATTTGCGTATGCGTATGCGTTGTATTTCAATCTGATAAAAAATAAAACTAATTTTTTTTTATTCAAAACAAAAATGATGTATAACAATACCTCTTATGTAATTGAAAATTGGTAGCTTACTTGCCGGTATCTTGAGCTATGCAAGGCTATTTTTCTGGGAATTTAATGCATTAGTTTGGGGCAAGAGATTTAAGATTTTCTGTAAGGTGCAGTTTTTAATGGAATGCGGCATGGAATGATTCATTGCCATTACATTATCACTGACACGTTACATATACAATTACAGTAGTGCGTATAAGGATAGAAAGTAGTGAGTGACCATTTTTGTTTTTAAACCTTACAATTGAAATACTAAAAAGTATATCCTTAGACACAATGTAGATGCTTTTCAATTAAATTGTAATATTAAAATATTTTCCCATGTGGATAAAAATCTAGTAGGTGTTATACCTGTAAAAATCACAAGGAACCGAACTCTCCAACATGTGACAACGGAGACCACACAGCACAAAAACAAATCTTTCCGATTTTTCAGCCTCCGCGGAATGACGTCGGAACAGTGCAAGCTGGCCTTTACAACGCGCGACTGAATGACGTTTTTCCGCGCAGGAGTACCCCTTTCTCTTTTACACGGCCTTTCAACAGGCGTAATCTCGTTCGTCTTTCTTCGCGACCGAACAACGTTTTTCCGCAGGGGTCCTGCCTTGGTATTATGTGACGGTCGTTATTGGATTGTGACTGACATTTAAGAACATGAGATTTCAATGGAACTGAAAGATTTATATTGTTAATTCCTTTCAAAATTTAATTTTATTATCTTAAGTGCGCTACATGTATATACTGTCTAAAGGCGTGATCATCCCGATCATAAGAACATCTCTCCTGAGGAAGCTTCCCCTGAGGGCTTATCATATTTTGTTACTCATCATTTCATTTCTCTTTGCTGATTTATCCCTAAAAGTTGTATTTGATCTATCAAATCCAGTCCAATTACAGATTGCTTGGAAGCGATATCAAAGTTTATATTTAAAGCATGATCATTATTTCCATAAAATTGCAATGAATTATAATGAATAAGACTTGGTCAAAGGCCATGCTGTTTGATTATTAAAAGTTTGGCCGCGGCCTTGAATAATGCAACTCTGGCTGAAGCAATGCAAGTCAATTAGCGGACATATAGCTGACTTTACATTTAACTTGTCGCTTGTACTATAGAAATTGTTAATCACACTTGCGCTTACAATCTGGATTTTATAGGATACGTTTTAAGGTGCCTACGGAGTAAAAATCATTTCACTGAAATCATGATACACAGTCATTGTATTTTTAATTTTTATTTTTTCAGTTAATAAGGTGTATAAATAAAGATTCCTTACACGATCGCTATTTAGACTGCGGCAGTTTAAATAGATCTTAAGTTTATTACACTGATGGACGTAGTGCTTATGCACTGAATCAGCGTGTGCAGTGGTGCAACCAATCTTTAATTAATAAGGGAGTTGGAAGAACCAGCGGGTGACCGTTAATCGTTCTAATATTTAATCAACACTGAGCGGAGAACAAACAAAAAAGGATAAAGATGTGTCACTCTATGCGCTGGTGGCCGGGGAAATTTCAACAAAGCCCGACTAACACCTTCAATATTTCATCCAGCTAAAAGACGAAAACAAAAATACTGTTGACTGGAGATGCATTAGACCATTTTTTTATTTGATGATTAAGTATTGCCCCACAACTGATCGTAGTACATCCCGCGATAAGATTTCGCTCGATAGACCATGTCTAGAACCATTAGTAAACCATTAGTTCTAAACTAGCTGTCATAAAAAAACTTGCTTGAAAAACTGAATAACTATAAGATCATTGTTATTTTGCAAGGTAAAGCAGAGATAAATATGTTGATATATAGCAAACATTTTCAGTATGATGTGCCGTAATACGTATATAACAGGAGTACTTTTCTATCAGTGGGTGAGGAAGAGAAGGGGGTGGTTAAACCACGTAAGTGAAGAATCACTGCACATTAAACGTGCATCGTGTGTCACTTTTACG